AGACACTAGGCCCACCCCCCATGTCCCATCTCTGAGTCCCCAGGTTTCCATCTGACCCTGTGGCCACCCCACAGGCACGGTGTGGACTACCTGACAGGTTCCTGGTGGCCAATCCTGGACGACCTCTATGCTTCCAATATCCCTGTGTACCGCTTCGTGCAGCGCCCTGGAGACCTCGTGTGGATTAATGCGGGGACCGTGCACTGGGTGCAGGCCACCGGCTGGTGCAACAACATCGCCTGGAACGTTGGGCCCCTCACCGGTGAGAGGGTGGGGTGCAGAGACACTCAGTGGTGAGAGGGTTGGCGGGGGAGTGGAGGGCAGCCAGCTGTGAGGGAAGGGGCTGGGGTCCAAGTAGCTGGGAGTTGTTTGAGAATCCTGTAGTGACTGCTTCTGGCCCACAGCCTATCAATACCAGCTGGCCCTGGAACGATATGAGTGGAACGAGGTGAAGAACGTCAAATCCATTGTGCCCATGATTCACGTGTCCTGGAACGTGGCTCGCACCGTCAAAATCAGCGACCCCGATTTGTTCAAGATGATCAAGTGAGGGTCCTATTTGAGAGGGAGAGCATTTCCACCAGACCTGGTCCCACGCTTGTTCTGCCTGTAGAATGCAACCCCATTCTCCGTCTTTCTCTCCACTCTTTACTCATGCGCCCTGCAGTGTTCCAGTGCTGGAGCAGGTGACAAGGTTCCTGCTCCAAGGAATTTTACTTGACAGTGGCCCAAATAGATAAAAACGCACATGAAATGTTAACGGGGCCTAGTAAATGAGGGCTACTGTCCCGCCTTGCCAGCCGCCCTACCTTACCGCCACTCGCCCTCCCCCCATGCCCAGGTTCTGCCTCCTGCAGTCCATGAAGCACTGCCAGGTGCAGCGGGAGAGCCTAGTGCGGGCAGGGAAGAAAATCGCCTACCAGGGCCGGGTTAAGGACGAGCCTGCTTACTACTGCAACGAATGCGACGTGAGTGGGCCCGCTTCCCTCCTTCCTGGGAGAAAGGAGCCCCCGGGCGTTCCTCCCGGTGACCGCCCCGCCTCTGTCCCAGGTGGAGGTGTTCAACATCCTGTTCGTGACGAGTGAGAACGGCAGCCGCAACACTTACCTGGTGCACTGCGAGGCCTGTGCCCGACGCCGCAGCGCGGGCCTGCAGGGCGTGGTGGTGCTGGAGCAGTACCGCACCGAGGA